TCACCTCCTGAGATGAAACGCAATCTAAGCTGTTGTTTGGCATAAAGTGCTGGAAAACGCTGCTTGGCAGACGGCATCGACGAAGAACTTAGAAAGGCACAGGACCTGCTTCGCGAGAACGTTTATCCGGACGAATTTGTTGCAAAAGATATGATCTAGTTTCCAGCAAAACCCGCCCTCCTGAGGGCGGAAAGGCGGACTGCCCCTCAAAGTCCCCTTTCAAGGTGATGCGGCGAATGAACTGAGTAGACGGCTTGACGAAGCTCTTTCGCGAACCCTCCCCTCAGCAAGAGTTCGGATACTATTTTCGACCGCGGACGTTTACTTTACCGGCAGTTTAAGGTTTCCTTATTGAGGCTTTGTGAAGCCTCGCACTGTTTCCTGCGCTTAATCCAAACTGTGAATGAAAATAGCTTCCCAAAAGCCGCCAGCGTTACACAGCGAGGTGAAAAAATAAAAAAGTATGCATTGGAAAACCCAAAGAAACATGCATTGCCCACTGCCTTCTACAAGCTTACTCTGTGCTAAAAGAATCTTTTTACTTGTATGATTGCAAAAAAGAGGGGTGGGAGGGGTTCCAGTGCCTCGTTCCTCTGGAACAGTTCCCACATTGGTCAGATACGTGGTGGAGAACTTGTAACCGCAGACTTTTAGGTGCTGTTCTTTGTCCCAGGAAAGAGTCCCCCCGCACCCTCCCCGCCGTGAGGGAGTAAGATAGGTCTCAAATTTTATATTCAGTTCCTTTTTTTCATTTTTGTTCTCGCTCTCACACTGCTATGTGAGCTGTTTTTGTGAGCGTGGGGAGGGGGGAGGAGTTCTGAAGACGATTCGGCGCACAACCTAGGCGCCAGTGGGCAGCACAAAAATCGCACTGTTTATGAATATCTCGCAGACCCAAAAAGTGCCTGTGAAGGACAATTGGTAGTTGACCAACTGACTGGGTGCTGTGACTAAAATAGATTAGTCTCTCGCTCACTTTGCTCCATCGCCTCCTGCTTAGTCAGAAATCAGATATTTAGAAGGAAAGCTTTCATGCCTAGGCAGGAAATGTAAAATCCGCTTCCGATGCCGGTCGACGTTACAGGCAGATGCTCGGCCTCGCTAATAGAACGGTTTTCTCGACTGTGTCTTCTAGCTGTGGATTTGACCTATGGGAATATTTTCGGTCAACTATGTAAACAACATTTCGAAAGTAACTACTAAAGTATTACATGCTTTGCCGCTGATTTTAGACGAACATACAAATTTAATAGTATGGCCCACATCGGATATACATAGCCTTCTGCTCGATATACATTTTATAGAAACTTGCGTCGTCCTCAAATAGGGCAATTGGCCCAAAGGTTCTCACAAATGCAGCCTTCGCGAAACGTCGTGAATTGGACCACAAAATCTGAAGATGAGGCAAGTTCCTTCAAAAAGAACGCAGGAAACGAAGTATATACAACCATGCAAAAGGCAATAAAGAGACATATTACACAACTCTTGATCATCCCTGAGCGTATTTTATGCGCGGAAAAGGAAATATTCTCAATCAAAACCCAGCATGACAAAATTCATGGATGTGTTGCGATGCCTACCGTCCTCGTTCGAGGTCTCGCCATCCCAAGGTCACCCGCAATTGCAGCGAGCGGTTCCAGACTCGCTGATCTGATACGACACCACCAACTTCAGATAGGACACAAGTGCTTCCTGGCGGCCACGGTCGCCCTCGGCTAATGCGGCAGACACCAGCGGGACAACACTTGAGCTTGCTTAACAAACCTAAAACAGCTGTCGCCACCTCTCTCTCAGGCATTACTTAACACTGCTAGTACTAGCCATCGCTTCGCCAGTGACCACTGCCACTCAGAACAGCAACTCGGGATTTAAATTCCACCCATGGCGCCTTCTGTCTTCTTCTTCTTCTTCTTCTTCTTCTTCTTCTAAGAACTAGAACTTGGCCTGATGATTGTGACACCCGATGTACAACCACTACCTAGGGCCCTACATACCCACCAGCGATTCGGGCCAGTACTAATCCATATTGAAACCTCACTTAAGCACTGTCTTCTGTTCGAAAGTGCATTTACTAATGGCGGCTAATGTCCTTTGAGTTCCTGTGCGCACTGAATTGACGATTTCCAGACCATGAGATTACCTAATGTACTGTAAAATAAGCTGGGCTTGACCGTCAGCTTAAAGCAGCGATGATTTGGGAGAACATAGCGAACGATTTCTGGTGAGTTTTAGCTCATGTCTACAACCTCAATTAAAATCCCGGGAATGAACCTTTTCCACCAGTCTACTTTAAAAGTATAATTTCTCCACCTCATGATAATGAATTGATTTTATCAGGGAACGCCTTGAATGCCTCTCGGAACAAACTCTGTCTTTTATTAAGGCATTTGGTCATGCAGAATAAAAGAGCGCTGCTTACTTGGAAAACGTTTCTTTCGAGCAAACATATTTTCCAATGATTTCTACGGTAGATGCCGTTATCCGCATTTGTCTGAATATAGTTGCCGTACTTTTCAAGGGAAAAATTTTCAAAGGTTTTTTCTGGCTGAGAGGTTCAATGTTTCGAGGGATGTCGCCTGGCTTGATATGCAAGGCGTAGGATTATTTGCTGTGGAAAAAAAGGTTGCTGAACCATAACTTCCCTTCCTTCCGCTAATTAAAACAGGAGTTTTGGAAAAGACCGCTGCAATGTAACGGCAGTCAATCATTCCGCAAAGATGGGCGTCATTAACTTCCGGATTATCCGATTGTTCAAGATGTTAATTAAAAATTGCAGGTTGACTCCCAGTCTCTGCTTTTGTCTGTATTCTATGCCTTTCACAGGATTCTAACCTTTACAGATGCATTGTCTTTCGACCTGGCTACGCACTTTACACTTTACACCTCTGCCATTCACCTTGTTTTTTTTTATACATAAAAGCATCCTGGGGTCCTGCAATCAAATATATATACTACTAGCTGACTCCCAGCAGTTAATGAATAATACGCGATTATCCCGTCGTGGCTGATAGACATCGGCCCAAGTTGTCATACATTAAATTTCGGTCTACGCCTATAGACCTTAGTTCAGATTGATTTAGTCCAAGTCAGCGATTCATTTCTGAGGAAATTAAAAAGCAACAATTTCTAAACCAGAATATCTACCAGAAAGCACACGCGGAGTGCTGGGGGAGTCACTGGTGAGCCTAAACCCTCACAGCTGTGCCACCTAGGGACAGAATAACAGTGAACCACGTGTCTGGGCGTTTAACTAGTACCTGTGCTGCTAGTATGGTATCCCGCAACCCAAGAGCATCCGGATTGTAAACGCCACTTGTGATGAGTTCAAACTGTTCATGCGTAGTCACATTGCATGGCAAGGGGTTCCCCTTGTTATTCGCACCTCGGAGAGAAATAGCAGCAGCCTTAGTTTCAGTTTCAGTTGCAGTTTATATGAGGGGAACATAGGGGTTGAACCTTTGAACTCTCTATTTTTTACAAGGAAGCGAATTATATCAAAAAATTTGAACATGGAAAGATCAAACAGCTGCAGAAGTTTTGTTCAGATTGGCAAAGTTTTCGAAACCAGACAGATAAACGAATTGTTCCAAGTGTTAATAACATTAAGGTTACTAAATGTCCTGTACAGTAGTCTGTCTATGGATAATTGGTGCTATCTCAGCCATCACTCGTTGCGGGTTGCCTACAGTAGAAATTCATTGAGGAGATTAGAATCTGGGGAGGAGTTTCCACTGTTGTCACCATGCTTGACCGAGAAGCCGGCTGCCAGCTGTAACGACCCCGAAATTAAGAGGGATCTGTATAACCCCAAACGTTAAATAACTCCTGAAAACGCGTGTAAGCTAGAAATTTTAGGGCAAAATTCTCCTGTCTTTAGGGAATTAATATAAAAAAGACATATTTTTCTACTGCGCAGCTGCAGTGTCTTTCAGTCCTTCCTGGGAAAACCAACTGATTTTACAGAAAGTCAAGGTCAAATATATGCGGTATTTGGGCAGTGACCTTTTCGCAAGCGAATTGCCCAAGGTGGTGGAAGAGGCTCGAATGGGAAGGCCGGTGCGTTAATTTATTTAGATTAACTTTATTTGATGTTCTATTCTTAATGGAATTGCTAGCCCACTAGAGTACTTCTCAGTGGGGCAGTGCCCGAATAGTCGTAGTCGATTTGCCAGAAGTCTTCACGCCTGCTTTATCATTAACTAGCCAAGTTTCCGTCAAGTCAAGATTCGTCGCAGCAGTGTGAAACTCTAGCCTTGGCTACCATGAAATGCCGTTGTAGTCGAATTTATCCCGATCCTCGCAAAACATTTGGCCTACGGCTTTGCAAAACGTAAATTCAAACGTGATGGCGAGCTGACATCACGTTAAGGTTAAATAGTTAGAAGACGCTACCGCAAACCTCGTTACTTCTATTCATTAACTTGACCCGGTGCTCACAAAGTCCTACTCTTCCGCGCAGTGGGCTTCCGAGTCCCTTTATTAACAAACAGCAAAAACGGAGCACATTCTCATTGTCAAATTGTAGCGTCAGGCTCGTGGCAGATTGACGGAAGTGCTTTACGCAGGGGAGAATTGTTGACTGATCCTCGTGTGGTTCAATGTCTGGCAGTCTGCTGTCCTTCGACGTCGTCTCCGCCCTCACATCGAGTCTTCAGTGGGAACTCATGACTAAACATTATGACGGCGATGAGAGCCATTTAACCGTCCATTGTCTCCACAAACTTCTAGGAACCTGCCGAAGTCGGCCGACTTATAATAGCAGCGAGAAGGGACGACAGAGAATGCGGCTAGATTGTTACAGTATTGTTTCGGGCTTATTCTGACTTCATTCAGCCAAGTGCTTCTTGACCCAGTGCTTATGACCCATCTGGTAGACCACAGTGGTGGATCAACTGCGCCAGGTGCGTCTGTGCACATGTTTGTGTTTCTGGTCCCAGCTGCTGGTGGTCAGGGTTATGATTGGCTAAATGAAGGCACAATAAGCCCGAAACAGTACTGTATCAATCTACCCGCACTCTCTGTCGTTCCTCATCGCCGTTATATATGCATTTATATTCAGTGATTGTTTCATTGCACTCCCAGTTAGTGTGCCATCTAAAAGCCCAAATCTTTGTTTCGTCCACCATATGCATCATGCAGCGGTGTAAAATCGGCGAAACAACTGTTTGGAAGTATGGTAGGTCTTCGGCTTCGGAAACGTCACTCACGTAGGACAAAGCACGGAAGATTTTAGGTTTTTGTTTTTGTTCACCGTCGGTCTTCGTGTGCCTTTGATACAGGCATTTGTTTATGAAGCTACGTGGGTACCCATTGGAGAGAAAGAGACGCCATAGGGATTTACGCTCTCGCAGCTTTTCAGCCTCTGTGCTGCAGTGTGTGTTGATGCGTAGGAAGAGTGTCCGCACGCAACTGCGCTTATGTGACAAGGGGTGGTTACTGCCGTAATGGAGGATTTTCGCCGTATCGGTCGCCTTTCGAAAGACACCAGTTTGGAGGGCTCCGTCTTCCTGTCTCGACACCTGGACATCAAGAAAGGGGATTTCTCCGTCTTTTTCTTCCTCCATTGTGAATTGAATTTGGGGGAAAATTGAGTTCAATTTGCTTCTGAACGTCTCTTTCATGTCTCGAGGTAGGATGACAAAGGTGTCATCCACATAGCGCATCCAGAATTTTGGCATGTAGGACTGAAAGACCCGTGTTTCCAGTTCTTGTAGAACCGTCTCAGCTAGGTAGCCGGAGATTGGTGATCCCATCGGAGTTCCTTGAATTTGCTCGTACACCTGGCCATTAAACGTAAAGTACGTGCTCAAACAGTAGTCCAGTAGCTCCATTATGTGCTTCCTTTTCAGACGTCTTTCCTCTTCATCGTACCTCCTCTCCAGTAGGTCACTTATGACCCTCGTGGCTAATTCTTTAGGGATGGAGGTGAAAAGAGAGACGACGTCGAAGGACACCATTATTTCATTGGGGGCTATTTTGACGCCTCGGAGTCTTTCCAGGAAGTGTGTTGGGGATACAGCTGTGTGTTCTGAGCCCTCCGTCAGCTTCTTCAGATGTTTGGTAAGCCATTTAGCCAGACCGTAGGTAGGTGTGCCCTTCAGCGCCACAATTGGCCGTAAGGGAACGTTTGGCTTGTGGATCTTTGGCAGACCATAGAAGCGTGCTATGGCAGCATCTTGTGGTTTCATTTGTCGCCAATCGGTCTCAGATATTGCCTGCTGGTTCCTCAGTAGACTCAGACTCTTGTTGATTTTTGCCACCAGTGATTTCATGGGGTCGGAGTCAATGAACTTGTATGACTGGTTATCGTTGAGTAGCTCCTGAGCTTTCGCTACGTACTCTGACTTGTCCAGGATCACGGTTGCCCGTCCTTTGTCTGCTGGGACAATCACAATGTCTTCATCCCTCTTTAATTCTCTTATGGCATTTACCTCGGCTGAGGAGATGGTTCGGCGTGGCTTGTGGGATATGATGAGTGATGCGACTCGTTGGCGAATCGAGTTCTTGGTGTCCTCTGTGGCCTTCGCCTTTGAGAGTGTCGCTTCAAAAGCAGCGATAAAATCCACTGGGTGTGCGTCCCCTGTGTTGTAGCCTGATTCGTGCTGAAACACTTTAATCTGGTCGTCAGTCAGCTGTTTGGATGACAGGTTGTGGACGGAGGGTGGCTCAATCAGTGTGGCTTGTGCATCCTTTAGACTACTCAGTTTGTTCAAGAGTTGGGCCCTCTTCTTCTCTCGCTCGATGATCACCTTACTCGAGATCCAGCTCTGCAAGTTTCTTAAGGGTTCCATCTCGAGGTATGATGCACATGCTGTCTTTTCCCTTTCGATTTCCCTGCTGTACTTTCCCAGGCGAATGTGACACTCGTTGATGAGAGTTCTTAGTAGGCGTCGGCTGCAGCTCCTGGCGACCGCTCGACCGAAGTCAGTCCTAGCTGGTGGTCTTACAGAAACACTCCTTGGCATAATGCCGGACCTCAAACAGTTGTGTAGGAAAGCCAATTGTTCATATGTAGATCCCTGTCTACAGGAATATACTTCCCGGCGCAGTGCTCGGCGAAGCGCTTCGCGCCCGGAATTATGATGGATATAGGCGAAAATGCCGACCCCAGGTGTTGAGATGGAAGAAGGTAAAGAGATCTCTGGGGAGGATGATTTATTCATCTGACGTTTCACACTCTTACTTGAGCGCATCATCGGAGATAGATTAAAAGTGGGAATACGAGGTTTAAATAGGTCTTTCTTACTCAATACTGATAAGTCCATTGTTTTCTCTTCCCATTGGTCCTCCCTTCCTGCTCAGGTGGTGTCTGACGGCCTCATATGGCGCCGGTAGGTCGATTCTACGGTTGATCGAGTTGGCGTTGGATTGCCAGGCTTCGATTATCTCTCTCGCCATTTTGCTTTCAGCTCGGCCGATTAC